GATTTACAAGGTAAGTATGATATCTACTCAAGTTTCAATGTTTCTGATCTATCTACTTTTTTTGCAGATGATCCGGATTTGTGGTCAAATCCTTTTGAACAGGAAGGGAATGATGCGCCCCAGTACATGTATCAAGACGTTCTGAACAGTCCAACAGAGGTTCACCCGTCATACCATACCGATCAGACTAGTCGTGCCGTGTACTGCATGGACCCGCGTACATCCAGAATGGAGCTAAGGCTGGAACCACATCCTAACAACCAAACTAATCATACCACAGACCGTCTTTCCCGTCTAAGTCGCCAAGCTAAGTCTAATGGTCGTACCATAATGGACTTGACTCGAGAGGAATTTGAAGAACGTACTGATGAACTATCCAGCTTGTTCGATCAGTACTTAAGATTTGATCATCTCAATTTATCTAAGGCAAGGATTCTTCAGCAATCTAAAGACTTAGGCAACATTTGGATCAGATCGGTACATGAAGAACACCCCACGAACCAAGCCGATCAGCCCGCGTGTGTCCTTCTCCTTTCCGCCAAGACCAGCTGGGAACCGAGGAGTCCTTTTGACCAGTCCAAGTAGGCGAGGGGACATCATGACCAGTCCAAGTAGGCGAGAGGTCTTCTTTGACCAGATCTGGAACCAAAGAGTTTTTCCTTTAGTCTTTCAAACTTCTTAGTCTTTGTTTCAATTTTCTATGTCTCTTTTTCCCTCAAAAACTCTTAATCTTCTTTGACCACATGTACTATAAATATGTACTCTCTTGCAAGAAATAAAGCATTCAATTTTCTTTCAACCTTTTTGATTTTTCACTCTATGTTCTTTGTTTAGAACATCTCTATTTTTCTTGGTGTGGTTAGCTCCGAGTTAAACGCCTCTTTCTCGTTGGTCTTGTGAGTCATATCAAGCAACGTATCGAGTTTTCTTCAATATTTTGGCTAATCGTCGGGTTTCAGCTGATATAGGTACAGGTTTATTGCTAAAAGAGATCATGTGTCTTCTTCAAGATTATGTTCACGATGGTTTGGATATGTAGCTAGCGTTTAGACGAATGTTAGAAATTTGATGAGGCATCGCATTGTCTAAATGTTTTTTCTGCCTACTGCAGCGAGAGTTTGCTTTTTCAAAAGCATTTTCTTGATGGCGAGGCATAAAATTTTTGAAGTAGGGGAGTATACGAGTATAGTATACGCACCTACTCCCTCGTTTTTTATGAAAGAAAACGAATGAATTGTTTTTCCGAAGAGTTGTATACATTTTTTTCTTTCGAGGATTAGGATGATCGACAATCTTGGTCAATCTTAAAGACGAATCTGGATTGATGATGACATGGAATATGTCGGTTTTAACAAAAAAGTGTCAGCTTTAAAATGATGCTCGTGTGTCTAGTTCTTTCTTTCTTTAGGAAGCGAACCTTATGAAAGGCTGCCTAAGTTTAAAATTGTAGTCGACAAGTTCGGTTTCTACAACTACAGTCAATTACGAGACGAACTCACCCAGGGAGTTCGATCTCTTGTCCAGCTCTTTTAATTGAACTACGTTCGGCTTGATACTCAAAAGGGTACGTAGGCAGTCTTTCATAAGGTTCAGTTCGAAATCAATCAAAAACTTTTTCATATTTTTTGTCTTTTGTTATCGAGCTGAGACTCAACTAGGTTTAAGGTTTAAATTTTAAGTTGCTAGAAATAGGTAATTTTCTGACAACTCTTGCGACCAAAGCACTTATATTTTTTGTAATGATCGCAACGCTTTTACGCGGATTCGAAATAAGATATACATTTTCTATAAATTTGTTTTATTATCTTTTCAAATTTTGTGCATCAATTTGGTTACTTTTCATTGGCTCTCGCAGAGAATCTGGGATATCTAGAAAGTTAGGGTTTCCCTAACTCTCCTTATTTTCATTGGAAATCAACAGTGCAAATTTTGGTTTCCACAACAACTCATGCGCTCTTCGAGCCACTCAAGATGGTTATAATTGTAAAAGTAGTTATAGCTTTTTGGTTTGGTTATAAGAAGATAGTTGTAATTTCACTACACTTTTGAGTCCCTTTTCAGTTGATTGAATTTGAGATACGGTTTTAGTTATAAAATTAAGTTTTAAGTCATTTTGGCAGTCCCCAAATTAGAAAATATTTAACTTATTTTTGGTATTTGAACAAAAAATATACACGAATTAAAGCCTGGTAGTACATAAATAATAAATGTGCAAAATATGATTATTACTTAACAAATTATTCAAGTAGATCATCTTTTAATTTCACTTTTAAGAATGTCATACAAATAAAATAATCAAAAACTAAAGAAAAAATATTCAAAAACTTCAATGCAAATTGAGCTTTCTGAAAATAGACTTCACCATAAAACGAATGTAAGGCATGCTCGAGAAGATGACTGGCCAATAGAAATCTGTAACATTAGCAACTGTTCTACAACATGCTTTCTTGAGACTGCCAAATCCAAAATAAGAATGAAAATGAAAAATTTAGCTTGATGTTGGCGGAAGCCTTTTGTAGTGTCCCTAAAAATGCGTCCAGAGATGTACCCATGAGGATATGTCGATTGACCATTATATAATATAACAAAGTCATTGCAAAAACATGAACCATAATAAATAAAAAAGCGTTTCACATCATCTTAGATCCCTTTTTACTAAGCAATGTAGAAGAAATAAATAAAATAGTTGATAGTGGTTGTGTTGATGATGATAGATCCATTTATACTTGGTTTTATAAATTCTTGTTATAGGCATGTCTCGATATGGGTTTACCGAAACAGGTAGTCTTTTATTTGTAAATGAATACAATTCACCTGTTCATGTAAATATATTAATATTATCAGGTTAGAGTTATAATATACATGTATATTCCTTTATTCATATCAATCTCAACGATATAATAATATGATTTTCACACATTTTACTGTTACGATATCAGAATACAATTCCATGTAATGTACTAATTGGTACTCGAATTCTAGATAATTCACATGCAACTGCTCCCAGCATTACCACCCAGTCGATTTGGATTGTTACTTTCCCGAATGAACTCTGCAGAAGAGCCACTAGTTCAGATACACCACAAAACTGAATCAGTTGAATATGAGTTAAGATTGATGGATTATTACCTTTCCCAATTTGCTCTTGTTCTTGCATGAAATGTGGGATTTTTGACCTTTGGGAGGGCTCTCAAATGACCATGAGAAACTCTCATTCCACTCTAAATTTGGACCGGTCAATATCACCTGAATAAATAGAACGACGCATTTTTTTTGTTTGGTCTTAAAAAGGTAATTGTATTCTCACTACACTTTTGAGTTACTTTTGTAGTACGTTGATCGAATTTAAGATACATTTTGACATTTAAAATCAAATTTTAAGTCATTTTGGCAATCTCCATTTAGAAAATGGTATTTCTAACATATTATTTAGTTTATTTTCAGTATTTAAACTAAAAAATATATGAGAATTAAAGTCTAGTAGTACATAAATGACATAATATGCGAAATATGATTATTAGTTTAAAAAAATATCCTAGTAGGTAATCTTTTATTTTCACTTTTAAGAATATCATATAAATAAAATATTCAAAAACTTCAATTTAAATTCGCTTTTGTGCAAATAGACTTCACCATAAAACGAATGTAAGCCTTGCTCGGGAAGATGACCTGCCAATAGAAATATGTAAAATTAGCAACGGTTACACAACATTGTTTCTTGAGCCCTACTAAATCCGAAATGAAGATGAAAAAGTTCGCTTAGAAGTTGGTGGCATCTTTTTGTAGTGTCCCTAAATGTAGGCCTGGTATTTTTGTCAGAACCGAATGGGCCGAACCGGACCGAACCGTTTTTTCGATTTTCGGTTTGGTTTGGTTTTCAATTCGGTTCAGTTCGGTTCAATTCGGTATGATTTAAAACATTAATTTGATTTTCGGTTCGGATCGGTTCAGTTTTCGACTTTCCAAAAAAAAAAAATTAAAAAACCAAAAATAACAGAAAATATCCAAAAATAACCAAAAACCAAACCAAAAATAACCGAATTTAACCAAAAATAACCGAATTTAACCAAAAATATCCCAATATTTTGGAAAAATTATACCAAAGTTAACCGACAATTTTCAAATTCAGTTATTTTCGGAAATAAAATTGAAAATCGAAATAAACCGATAACCGAACCGAATCGAACCAAAATTTCATTCAGTTTATCTTGGAATTGTTTTAAAAACTTTGGTTAACCGAAAACCGATGGTTCAGTTTGGTTTCGGAAAACCGAAGTCGCAGGCCTATTTAAATGCATCCAGAGACACCCATAAGGATATATTGGTCGAGCATGTATGATACTCTATCCGTTTTTAATGTATGATGTTTTACATACATTCACAACTATTACGAAAGTTATTTTTTTTCTTTTATAATATTATTAAAATATTACCTAAAACTATTCAACCAATTACAAAATACAGAATAAAATACTAGTGACTACACAGTTTTCAATAAAATCAAAAGTTACATAAATGAATAAAACATCTTAGGAAGTATGACAGTCATAGCAAAAACAAGAACCATATTAAAAAAAAAAAAGCATTTCTCATCATCTTAGACTCATTTTTATTAAGCAAATTAGAGTTGATAGTGCTTGCATGTTAATGATGATAGAGGCATTTATACTTGGTTTTATACATTTCTTTAAATGTAATGTCTCGATATGGGTTTACCCAAAAAGTAGTTTTTTATGTATATATGAGTCGTTTTCTGGAGACAAAAAAAGACGATACATCCCTCCACCGGCGCTTGGCCTTAGGGTTTTGGCGTTGGTTGGAATTCCTCCCCTATGTGATTGTTTCCTCTTTGCTTCTCTTCCTTAGTCTCTCTTTTGGCTGTCGATATGTTTGAAGCTCTGGCGGAATCCCAATCGCCGGAACCCTAGATCTAGTGATAGGGTTGTTTCCTCTGGAGTTTCAACGAGATGGCGAAGCTGACTGAGGAAAGAAGTCGGTTTTTAAGATTTGGCTTTGGCAGATCTCGATTTTTCCTTTTCTAGATATGTTCGTCGTTGAGGCAGTGAAGGCACGTGGTGGTTGGGTCTTGCTCTCTCCTCCGGTTCTTCATCTGGTGTGACGTTTTGGCCAAGGCTTTTCGTTGTTGGAGGTGTGAAATTTCTGAGGGTGTGGCTTGACGGCTTGCTTAGGCATGGAAGTGTTGTCTCTGTTCGTCGGAGACAACTCTGATGGTCAAAGCCCTTTGTGTGTTCAGTCTTAGTTTTGAGCGGAAGGATAGAGGTAGTTGTATTTCGGAGTTAATGCTTCTTTGCTGATCGATTACCGTCCTTTAGATAGTATTAGTCTTGGATTTGGTTTATAATACTTACGTGTTGATGTATTGATGATAGAGAAGCCATTTTATACTTGTTTTTTAAAAAATCTTTTAAAATGGAATGTGTAGATATGGTATTCAAATGGGTAGTTTTTTTTTTTTTGTAATTCTACCATTTCATGTAAAAGAAAGAGTATAGTCACATTAGAGTTATTACTCATGTTGACTAGTCTTTAAGTGTATCAACGAACTATATAAAGTTGTTGATTCTCTCAAAAATATATTGTTGATTCAATATATACATATATTTAATTTTTAAATAATTAGAATACTAGATGATTGAAAATGTCGAGAAAGTCACTCGTAAAAAGACTTGAGTAACTTCAACAAGAATTTTGATTCTTCTATTTCTCTTCTTTTCCCCTTATTTTTATTATTTTCTTTAGTATAGTTATTTCATTTCTTCTATTGAATATACTAGGGTTTTTTTCGCACTACGCACGGTTTTTGTATTTTGATTTTCTTGATTTTATTTTTTACTATTTTATAAAAAAATTGAGTTTTCTTTTATTTATTCTGAATATTGAATCTTATTCTAGAATTATAAATTTTAAAAGAAATATTTCAAACTGTTTGAAATAATTTGTTATTGAAACGATAATACTAAGAGAAATTTATAAATATTAAATATTAGTTTGATATAAATATGTTCTTTTTCTTTGCTCGTTTAGTTTTTATGTAAAACCATTATTAAATTTTTGACATAAATTTTTGGGTTTCCAATCATTAAGTTTCTATTTTTGGGATTTCATCTTTAAAATAAAGTACCAACCATTTCAATAATATCGTTTTATAGTCATTTGTTTTCTATTAATTTATGTTTTTCTTTAACCTTTTTATTTTGTTTTGTGATGGAGAGAAATTTTGTCTATTTTCTTACCACTGATGTAATATAATATATATATATATATATATGTGTGTGTATAATCTAGTAACCGAAGTTTACCTATAACAGATACTTATAAATATTAACACTGTTTTTTATAGTCTCGAAAGGTTATTTTTTGGATGGCTTATGTGCTCGACCATCATTTCTGGATAGTCAAGTCTAATATTTAACAAAAAAATTGTGTAATATAATTTTATATACGAAAATGTAGAGAAAATATGATTTATACAGATAGAAAACGAAATAGAACACTTAGTTATTTCACATAATTATAATAATGTGCAATATAATACACTTCATTTTTAAAATTTACTAAGAAACAACCCCACGCGTAAACGCGCGGGAGAATAAACATTTAATTTTATTTTATTTTAATGTTTTATTTTATTAAATTTGTATTCAATCTTCCCATAGATATAGTTATTTTGTAGGAGGGTAATATTTTATCTCATAGAATACTTATATAACAAATGAATAGTAAACATATAAATATGTATGAAAATGAAAATAATTAATTTTGATGTCTGAAAAGTAAAATTCTTGTGCAACATTGCAATATTAAGTAATGTAATTATCTTCAATTATTTTCTTCTTTTCTCGTTGTGTTTTATTTTTTTATTACCTCTTTCATTTTATTTAGGTTATCGGCTTCTTTTTGCTTTAAATTTTTGTTTTCTTATTAATCTTTTTTTGGATTTTCTTTAGAAGAATTGATTACTTCACTTCTTTTAGCCTCATCAACACTTCTATTTATTATATACTATTATTATTATTACTTATTGAAAAATATTACATACTACTCGCTTTGTTTTATAATAAGTGGCATTTTAACTTTTTTTCTTGTTACAAAAAATGTCACGTTACAATTTCAATATAAATTATACTTATTTTCAGCTGAAAATTAATTAAAAACTGCATTGATTTTATAAATAATTTTATTTATCTCAAATACTATTGGTTATAGATGTATAATTAATAACATCTTATATATATTTCTGCTACTTTATTAATTTGTGTGAAAATGTCAAAGTGACACTTATTCAGAAACATAGAGAGTATTATTTGAACGTTTAAATATTTCAAATGTATTGTACTACTTAACAACACAAGTTTGACAACTCACTTTGATTAGTATACACTTAAATTAAAACTCAAAAAAGTTTCCATTTTGGACATTGCTATGAATTTTTTTCAATATCATGTCTATATTTTGAACGCTCTATGGCAATCATTATTAAAAGAGTTAAGTTCCAAAAGTTTAAAATAAAAGTTTTTTTATCTCAAAAATAGATCTTGTTATATTTAATATATAAGGTTTATCTCGAATAGTAGATTTGGTTATATCTAATATATAATTGATTCTATTATGGTTGACTCTTATATTAAAAAAACTATTCATTTTATTATTTTTTATATGTATTTAGTGAGAATATTGAAGACGTTACCTTTTCATCCAATAGTAGGAAATTAAGACTTATAATTTCATTACTATTTTTAGGATTTCTTATTTTCCATGCCACATTACTTTTCGTATAATTTCTTGTTATTCACGTATCATCTTAATATTTTTGAGAAACTTGTATGTTGCGAGTTTGATTCATTCGATATCCATGTTTGTTTGTAAATTAGAAGTCCCCTTTTCTCTTGTTAAAAGGGCAAAAAGTCTTGAACAATTGTGTCTGTTAATTTCGTTAATTTACAAGGCTGTGTCTTTTTATTTTTTTTTTAAATACAATGCTTCTTAATAATTTTTTAAACGTTGAAAGTTGGGTCTTTAATAAGATATTATAAATAAACCAATAACCTGTGTTAGAAAGTGTCTCTCATCATGAATACACACATGTTTACACATTTTGTTTTTAAGAGTTATAATAATTTTAAATAAGCCAATGAAAAAAGTAACTTGATTGATATTTATGCAATTTAGATTAGGAAAAGAGGCATCGTGTATTTTAATATCATTACTTATTATAATTGACAGTAGTTTTAGAAGTTAAGAAGATGAAAGACACATTTGTATAATTTAAAAGAAAAGTCCACATTTTCAGTTTTATGGGTTGTCTTATTATATATCATGGATTCAAACTTAGATAACAACTGCACCAATAGTATTTTCAAAGGTATTATTGGTTTGTATTGACATTTTGTTATTCCAAACCTGGTTAGTATACCCACACAACATTTGTACGTAACTTAATTTATGAAAAATGGTTGGTTAAATAGTACAAACATTTTTTAAAAAAACTCCTTCAAAATTATAATATATAGAAAAGAGCAAATATGAAAAAATAAATAGATCATTATTAAAACTTTTTGATAAAATATATACCTTTAAATATTTACGTAGATTTTCTAAAGGTAAAAGAAATAGACATTGTCTCCAATGGTAAAAGTAAGTTCTTAAGAATATACACATGTTGAAGGAATTGTCTTTTTGTTTATTTTATATCTATTTTTAATACATATTATAAAAAATCTTAATTTTTTTCTAAAAAGATATACATAGTTTAATTATTTTTATAATATTATATATTTACAAAATAATATTAAACACACATCATTCCAGAAAGATACATCATTAGACACTTTAACATTTTTTAAATAACTATTCAACTTTTAGAATCAAAAGACGCATCTTTAGACATTTATTTTATATTTTGAAAAACACATTCTTAGGACCAGAAGACACATTGTTACACATTTTCAAAAATATTTTATAACTATTGCATTAAAAACACACATAAAGATAAAAAAAAACACATATAGTGACATTTTAATAGTTTTTTCAATCAATACAATTTTAGAAGAAAAAGACACAACCTTTCAATAGTAATTGGAAATCGCTATTATTAATATATATATATATATATATATATATATATATATATATATGTATATGTGTTTGTGTGTGTGTTCATATTATTGATTAAAAATCATTTGTTAGCACATATTTTTTTAATTTTAAGTCCAAATAAGAAAACATAGTAATAAAATAATTATATTACAAGATGTTTAACAATTTAATCATTTTTTACAAAGTTAGTTTGTTTCTTAAAAGAGAGCAGAAAATCATTAAATTCATAGAAATAATCCCACCTTGTTCATTTTAAATTTTAAATTTAGGTTTATTAAATCGACACATTCCATCATCTGTAACAAAACTGTTGGATTTCTTTTTTTTTTTTGAAGACCTGTAATTTTCTGTAATTGATGTGTTTCAAATTATAGTGAAATTAAAGTCGTATCTGCAATATTCAACTTAAATCACAGATTTTAATTGTGACTTTCAGACATGCACCGAATGTGACTTTTATTAAAATCACAGCTTTTAATTGTGACTTTCCACAAAGAATCTATAACCGCATGCATGCGAATACATGCATTACCAACGTACGGTTATGAATCGTATGTTTACTTGACTATATTGATTCAAGCCACTATCGTTTCTGTTATAAGTTATAACTTCTCTTAGTGACACATAAACTCAGTATCATCATTTTTCCCATAAAGTCTTTTCGTTAGAAAAAAACCAGTGGCTGACACACATGTAATTAAACAGTCGTTCTGAGACTTGATCGTATGTACGTACTGTAACAATATGACGTTTACGATGCCGTCCAATTTATGAGAACTTACGTCTACTCTTACATCAACCATGAACACGCTTTAAAAGGACCGCATTACTTTAACTAGGAGCATAGACCCCGCGCAAGCGCGGGTCCGGAGACATTGTTGTTGTATATGATAATTTTGTGTACATGATGCTATGTTCTCACGTACATATGATGCCATGTCGACAATGCAATTTATGTTGTGTAGTATTGCACTCAAATCTAAATTTAAGACATTTTTTTAGCCTATATATGCATGTTCTGAGAATGATTTAGTAACAAAATAGCAAACATTATATTGGTATCGTGTTCAGATGCTGGTCAGAGATCCAACGGACAGAGCCGTTTCGTTGGTTTTAACGGAAAATAATACAGGTGGCATAAATTTTGGTATAATCGTTCTTTTTTGCACCCTTGTTGTACCTCTAAACTTTTAAATCCTCAAATTAAATCCGTAATTAACAAAACCGAAAGAATCTGTAAATTTGGACTTTGATTTTTTCGTGCTCACTAAATAATAGATTA